AGCAAGCCCGTCACCAGTGTCCTGTACCATTGGACATGGTTGACGGTGGTGCAGCGGTTTATTAGCGCTGTGGCCTTTCAGCAGGGCCGTTCTGACAGTGAGGGAGGCTGATCTTTTGAGGTCCCCTCTCCTCCCTGCTTGCCTGATTCTCCATGCCACTGGCATCAGCTCCATAGATCACGGCTGTCGCAGCGTGTGTAGGTGCTTGCACCGCTCTGTTAGTCTCATCACTCATTCTCACTCGTCAGCCAGGCTGCTGATCTCGCCCAGACCCCTCTCACTCTGCCTTCCCTCTTGTTCCTCCCTCTCTCTCGCTCGCTCCTCGTCCCCTTGCTTTCTCCTTCCACCCGCTCACTCTCTCTTTTGCTTTCTCACACACATTTTTTTAATTAGGCAAAAATCAAAGACGAAATATGAATATTCATAAGGAAACCGCATTAATATGCACAATTATGCAAATCAGCATGCAATTAAGGCTTGTGTCTCCAGAGAGCCTGGATAGCATTAGTGCATAAGACAGGGAGAAGGGGATGATGGGGGTATTTTGGAGTTTTCTGCTCCACCAGTCTTTTGGCTGTGTTTTTCCTTTGTGCCACACATCGGTTCTTTCTTTACCTAAAACACTGGTTCATGGTTTGGCTTTATGTATTTTGTTTTGCGTTATTTTATGTGTTTGTATGTGTCACATTGATTGAGTGGAATTTAAATATGGTTTAGATGACATTTCATCTTCTTGGATTACATTAGGGATGTGAATGGTTAATTTTCTGCTATTCAGTGACCGTAATAAACACTAATGGGTACACTGAACAGCATTTCCTATGGTTTTGCCAGATACGTTCTAACATTGCATTGCATCTTGAATGCGACAGCGCTGTCTTTGATCAATAATGATGCTCTCTCCTGGCTTGTGCAAGCCCATTGTGGCCACTTAAGGACATCGTATGTTTAGAGTAGGACATGGTGACAGGTTCTGTTGATAAGACTGCCAACATCAGGGCATTTCTACATATCTGCAGTGACACATACGATGATAATTATATACTATCATATGGGAATTGCTAATATTCTTCACAGCATTAGACCAGCCTGCTTTTTGCTTCTTTCATCTCTACTTCAGATTAACGTGCTGGTTTCCCTACCTGTAAATAATAAACAATGTGGTGTTTTTTTTTTGTTTTTTTTTTTTTACACAGCAATAGACGAGCGCAGTGGCTCTGGGTCTTGGGCCCCAGCTGAACAGAACAGTCCCTCTTTCAGCCAAGGACGGGTAAGATCTAAATACACGCACACTCACACTCTTAAGTCGCACACGATTTTATGGTTTGGAGATCTAAGCATTAACACCAGATGCCATTATATTGTCACACACTCACACATGTTCAGTTAATCACTCTGCCATAGACGAACACCCACAACCCTTCTCCCCCTACCACCACAACAGCTTAGTGCTTTTTCATGCCGTGTGCCATGTTTGATTTGAAGTGGTAGTTTTACTTTCTACCTAATAACCTTGGCTCAGAATCCTGCATTGGCAAGCTCTCTGGTAGCCCAGAACCTCTGTGGAAGCCCACCGGTAATTGCAGCTTCACATCCGCTGTAACTGTCTTGGCACAACTCTGTGTAAATACAAGGAACAGGGGGTGAAATAGATGCAGCAGGCTTTGATTACCACAAGTTGATAATTAAGAAAGTCGGTTTGAATCCCCCGAGCTGATGCAGATTTGTTTGGCATGGATCCTGTTAGTTAGACAGAAAAGTAGAGGGAGGGTAACCACTAAGCCATATAGGTGTGCTAACAAGATGGGGAAGGCCTTAAAGAGTGGTTATCATTTAGGTCTGTGGGTGTGTTCCATTTGTGCAATGTGAGAGCCTGCATGTTCTAATTTAAATTTTTTTTTTTTTAAAGTTACTCATGTTGTTTTGGGTGTACCATTGTTCCTACAGGGCTATGCCGAAGGCTCACACTACAGTGAGCACGAAGGGTTGTCCTCTCCTTTCATCAGTTCAGGAGTCGCAGGTATGTTCTCTTTTCTTTAAAAATTTTTTAATAATTGATAGCTATATGGTAAAACTATGGCTCTTTTCACTTTGATGGACTGAGTGTATAAATTTACCTCTCAGTGCCAGAGGAAATGTTGCCATGTTGCAATTTAAAATTATCATGTTGATAATGGCCGATTGGACTGTTGTGCATACTTTATGACCAATTGTTTTCTGGGTGGCAAAATGTGTATGTGTCTACATGCATGTATGTGCATGCGTGTGTGCCTGTGTTCATTCGTTGAGTGTTGGGGATGTTAGAGCACTGAAGCAGAAACCTTCCCTAGGGTTTTGTCTGGCAGGCGGCTTTATGCAGCTGAGCGTACTGAAAAAGGGGAGGGCATCTCTGGACTTTTTGTACTTTAGAAAACCTACTTTTCATTTGTTTTGGCACACACCATTGCCTCTTAATGTGTTTATACATCTCATGGTTTTGCTCACATTAATATAAATCTTCACTTTTATCTTGCAGGTAAAAATGAGAGGCCACCGTACCCTCCATTTGGAAGCCAGGTATGTTGCCATTTAGCTCATTCCTTGCATCTTCCTGCAAGGTTATGTGTATGTGTTTGTGAGAACGAGTGCGGTTTCTCACTTCTCTTTTCATATTAAATACTTTGACTGAACTGTCTTCATTTCCTAGAAGAGAATCTGTACTCTCCCACACCCCTGAAAGTATTATTACTAAAACCTTGTTTCTCTATCTTCTGTTCTCTAGCCTGGTTTTCTTCCTAGCGACATAGCGATGCCCAGCCCAGATGCCATGTCCCCCTCCGGCCTGAAATCCGGCTCCCAGTTTTACCCGTCATACCCCAACAACCCCAGGAGAAGGCCGCCTGATGGAGGCATAGGTTAGATAACTGGTCATTTCTTTCTGTTTTTCTTTCTTCATTTTCCACCATTTACCCTCCTGTCTTTGTGTATTTTTTGTCTTTTTTTCATTTTGATTTGACTAGGGTTGCAACTAATGATTTTTTTGGATTTTCAATTCACCAGCAGATTATTTTTCTTGATTTAATTATTGGTCTATAATATGCCAGAAAATAGTGACCATTTCCCAGAGCTCAAAGTGGAATTGTTTATATTACTTCTTTAGTTTGTTCAGTCGTCCAAAATACAGAGATATTCATTTTGATGGCTAAGTTAACCAGAAAATATAGACATTTGACAGGCTGGGATATTTTGCTCTAGAATTGTCTTAAATGATTATTTCATGATTAAAATAGTTGGCGATCAATAGACTAATTGTTACAGTTCAACTGTACTTTAAATGGAGCTAACTAGACCTTGTCTAGTTGCTTGTCTTTGTTTTTTTTTGTTTGTTTTGTTTTTTGTCTGCATTCAACAAATCACACTAGCACACACATGCTGCAGCGTGTTCAGTGTTTTCTGTTATACAGTTGGAATTAGAGCACATGAAGGAACTGCACCTGAACTGACATAACATTGGCAAATGTGTCTTTGCTAAGTCCTTATTTGTGTTTTTGTCTCTCACCTTTTCTCGGTGTCTCCGCCTGCCTGTATGTAGACACCCAGCCAAAGAAGATTCGGAAACCCCCTGGCCTGCCGTCCTCGGTGAGAGCTTATTTCTGCCTGCCTTCACAGCTCACAGCCAGTCCTTTCTCTCTCTCTCTCCCTCAATACACACACTTGCTACACATAGACACACACACACAGATACACTTACACGTTGCTTTTCCCCACTCTGCTTGAGCAATTCTGTGACAGACAGGGGTAAAGACCCTCTGCTCAGTTAGACTCTCAGTGAGCTGACAGTCAGGCAACTCAGGCCCCAATAAACATCATCACTGTGGTTGTCTCTACACTACACTCAAGTGGTTTCAAGTGGTGTTCAGGGTCTGGTTGTCATGTAGACGAGCAATTTTATAGGATTTTGAGGTACTTTGTCAAGTCTAGTAACTTACCTTCTTCAGTGGCTCGATGTGAATTATGCGTTTTGTAAGAACTTAGAGATCCTGGATTTGGGTAATGAAGGTACATGTCAGGCATCCAGTTCATGAGGGGTCCAAATAAGTTGGGTTCAGTTTTGGATCCAGTTCAAAGTTGGTAATAAGATACCTGGATTTGTCAAGCCCAGAGTTTTACCGATCTCTTATTGAATCCGTTATCTCTTCTGCCTTTCTTCATGAGCAAAGGACAGTGTAGAACCCATATAGGAAATTGTTTGGCCAGACAGATTAGATATTTGCTATTTAGCCAAAGTTTCACTTCTTAGAATATCAGTCTTGGAGTTTTAGTTCCTGAATATTAAGTTATTTGTAAGTTGTGTTCCTTAAAATTGTTAAAAGGTTAGTTGGATTTCAATGTGTCAAGCAGATTTGATACTGGATTCAACAGAGTCCAAGCAGTATGAAGGCTCATATAGTGCTTTGATTTACTGTACCAAGTGTCACATTTTGTCAGTGGGCCCAGAATTCCCAGCAGCTGATGCAGCTGATGTGTGTGGATGATGGCAACCACACATAGCTGGAAACACATGTCACTGTTACATGTGTGAATATATACTGAATGAATCTCACTGTTAGTTTAAAGTGACTTGACAAGGAATTGAATCAGGCTGCATTTGCCCACATCATTCCCATTTATAGATTATTTCCATTGGCTAATTTTGAGTCCTGTGTGTTGATTACCAGCCAGTCCTTCCTTACAGTGACGGCTACTGTAGATCATAGATGATTCAGAGGCCATTTGCTCAATTTGAATACCACATAGCATTTTTAATACAACACTAACTCTCTCTGCTCCATTAGTATTTTCCTCTGCAGATATGTGAAAGGTCTTCATGGTTCTGAACCAACAGACTTTGTAGGATAGCAAACATGATATTTCAGTCAGAAGGATCCCACTGGGTAGTTGACTGTGTGTCGCTGTTGCTATTAGAGCCCAGTCTTGCTGTTTGAGCTGCCACTGGATCATCAATATGAAATACTGCCGTTACACAAATATTTTCTGTAACCCAGTCGTCACGCTACTGTAGTTCTCAGATGACAAGAGTGACCTAAAAGAACTGGGTATGGAACCTTTGCATCTCTTCACTTGTGGCATCTGTGTTTCAGCACAGTACACCAGCAACACAGGCAGAGGATAGAAAGATTAAAATATCGGGTGGCCTTGTGGGTTTTATGTTATATTATGTTATTATGTTATTTTATGTGAAGTTAGAGAAAATATAAGGTTTCATGGTCTTCATGGATCAAATACCTGCACATTAGCCCAGTCTTTGCCTCATCATTTCATAATCTTAGTAAATTTTGATAATAAAAGTTAAATGTAGATTGAGTTAAAACTGTGCTGATAACACATGGATTAAGTAAATTCAAAGGATTTATATGGCTCACTTGGTCCAAATCACAAAGCCATGGATAATCTGGCAGGATATTGAGTCAAGCGTTAGTAGTGTAGAGTTCTGTCTGTATCTTATTTTGACATAAAGTTGCAACAGATACAACTACTGTAGCCAGATGCTTTGATTAGGTGGGTTCATATCAGATCAACTAATAGTCAGTATGGAATCGGACCTTGGAAACTTGCTGCTTAGCTCTTTTCCTGATCCCTTGTTGTTTAAAGAAATCGTCTTGTTTTTTAAGATGGCATAGGTGCTGTCCCCCACCTGTGGGTATTGACGTGTGGTTAATGAAACCTCTGCGTGTAGACATGGTGACTACATCAGAGATTGAGTGTGAACGCTCTGTCTGGCCGAGGCCCCTTCTTCTTCACTGTCTGAACCTCAGTCATTCCCCGCAGTGTGAACGATGGCTGCATGGTTTTAATGCGAATGATGGGATGTCTGTGTGTGTGTGTGTGAACCCCCCTCCCCCACCTCACCCAGCCCTCCGCCTACGCTTCACCACATGATGGCCTGGGTGGGCCTCCCCCTGTGAGTGACCCAGTTGTGAGGCGCGGTGCTTGCGAGGCCTCTTAGCCCCGTGTCTGAGCCCAGATTAATGACTGCCGATGATGATCCTGTGGTCTTTCCTCCATCCCAAACACCCTCCCTTCCTGCTTCTCTTCACCACCCCTTCAATGTACACCTTTATCACCCCCTTTATCTACTTTTGTTACTTAAATCATTTTGCTGTAAATGGACAAATAATAGCTGCAGTGTAAAGGCCATTTCTCATTACCCCTCAGGCTCCCTGACTTCTGTAACCCACCAATACCTGTACACAAGATCCTTGCCCTAACCCCTTGAACCCTCACCTGCAACAATCAAACAACACGGAGGAACTTCTCTTCTGCCCCCTAGTTGTCCAGTAGACTAATCACAAAGCCCTCATGGTTGAATAAAGTGGTTTGAGGTTAGTTTGATGTTAATCTTCATCTACTCCCCACCCCTTGCTACAACCCATGTTTTTTCTAGTAAAGAGACCTTTACACGGTCATAACCTGAATTACATTAAACCCCTATTAGTTGAGGATTTTACCCTAGAAATCCCCTTTCTTCCTGAGAATACAATTATCCAGCAGCACCAGTCATTGTGTAGTTCTCTGTTCCCATCTAGAGCAGCAGGATTCACTCGACATTGTTCCCCGTGAAAGAACAACTCAAAGCCTATTGTTAAATGAAGCCATCTCCGTCATGTTTTCCCCTGAATTAACCGTGATCATTTTAAATCCCCTGTTTCCTTCACACTCCCCTGGCCATATCAAGCTTTGTTTAAGTCATTTAGATTACCTTCTCCTGTCCCCCCTCCACACCCCTTATCTCTCTACCCATTTCATAAATCATCAGGGCCTTCATTTTTTCCCCTCAATCCTCCCCCTTGCCCCTTTACCACCCCCTACCCACTGCAATCTCTCTCCTTCTCTTTCTCTCTCTCTCTCTCTCTCTCTCTCTCTCTCTCTCTCTCTCCTCTCTCTCTCTCTCGCTCTCCCGCTGACCTGGACCCAGCCATTCTCCTCTCCTCTCCTTCACCTCCCTCCCCAGGCCCAGCTGCCCTGTGGAGTAGGATGTGGTCGCAGGAACAGGCAGCATGGCTCTGTATAAAGAAGGCATCTCCATTCCCTTTCCAACTTCTCCCTGTTAATCAAATTACAAAAAAAATTCCCTTCTCTGGATTAGCATTCTTTGCAGCATAGCCCTCCATTCTCTTTCTCTCTTCCTGCTATCTTGCCATGTACTACAGAAGGAGAGGAAAGACGGACCTGAGTGGTGGCTGATGGTGTCGGGGAAACTGAGGGCTTCTCATGTCCGTTTCAGTCTCTGGCTTTGGAAGCAGAGATGTGTGTCACTGAAAGGCCCGGCCATCCATTTTTGTTAGCAATATGTTTGAGGGATCTGTGATTGGAATCTTTATGGTGCTAATATAAAACGTTGAATTTCACCAAAGAGCTGTCCATATTCATGTTTTCTTGAATTCAATCCCTCTGTTTGATGCCCAAACAAAATGTGATAGGTTGAGGGTAATGCTAGTGGAGTGTTAATGGTGGTTGTGTTGGTGTGTGTCACATACATTTTGTGTGTGTGTGTGTGTGTGTGTGTGTGTGTGTGTGTGTGTTGGCTCACTGAATGCATGGTATGTGTGCGAGTGGATACTGAGTGTGTTATAGGGAGGGGCTGCAGGCCAGGCAGTGCGATGTCACTGGGGTCCTGGGAGCTAGAGGAAGTGCTCACTGTGCACTGGGATTCAAGCCGTCGCTGTGCCCAGCATGGCATGGCCGCTGTGTTCTCCTCCACAGGCGAGGAGCCGGCCTGCCTGCCTCCACAGCCGGCAGACTCCCTCTTGCCATCTTGTGGCCACTTGAAGCTAGTGTAATTAAATGGTTTTCAAAAGCAAGGATCGGGTGGATATTTACCATACTACTTTCTGTTATGATGCTCAGGGCTACATAACACTTTTTATTTTTTTTTAAATACAGAATCCTGATGTGCATGTTTTAAGTTCACAGTTAAGAAATCACAAACCAACTACTAATTGTCTGCATGTTTGTTTAGGTGTATCCTTCCACATCTGGTGATGAGTATTCCAGAGACAATGGAGGATATCCCGGTGCTAAGCCTGGAGCTGTCTACCCTGGCTCTTTCTATATGCAAGGTAGGATACCATTTCACAGGGTTCCTACAAAGTCGTGAAAGTTTGGAATATGGTTAATTTTAACCGCTGTTAGGTCACCCAGGCTAGGAATATTATTGGATTTGAAGGTATTGTCATTTTCACCATAATCAGTTTTTTCATCTGTACGATCACTCATGTAAACCAAAAACCTTTTCATGTTTGAAATGAAACAATCATGTTGTCATATTTCGTTATTCATAGCTAGATAAGTCCTCTGTTAAACCCTTAGTGTTTAGCAAGCATTAAATAATCACGATCAAAACATGGCTGGAAAAATAAACAAAGTGACAATATAAATTGATTGCTGTTGGTATAAAGGAATTCTGTAAACTTATTTTTTCATAGTTGCTTTTATAGTAACAATTAAGCTGTGATGATAAAGGCTTTGAGAAATCTGGACATTTGTAGTTTAGGTTCCTTGAAACGTGTTTGAATTTTAGTCTTAAAAAGCTCTACAAACCCTGTTATAATATCACTGAAATGAATTTGCTCTGCAATCCTATTTGTGAAGGTATTTTCATATTTGCAAATGTTTCTCTGCTTTTCTCAGAAGACCCCTGGTCGTCTTCTGGCTACTCTGCCATGCTGGGTAACTCTCCTCACATTGGACAGCCAGGCTCCTTCTCTGCAATCAACCCACAGGACAGGATGGTGGGTAGAAACGGCCTCAATCCCATTCTAGTCATCTCTATTCCATGTTTTTTCTTTTTTTCTTTTTTTCTTTTATGGTTAATATTTTCTAATGTTGCTTGTAAGGAAATTTACATAGCCAACTTACAACCACATCATCATCAGTTTAACATTTCATAAGGTTGAAAAGCTAAATGCATTTGTCACATTGGTTTATTTTTCTGTGAGGGGTGTTTGTGCCTTACGGAGCTACTTGTGCCTCCCTTCTCCAGAAGCGTCAACCCCTGCCTCTGTCCCCACAGAACTATCCTCTGCACGGCAGCGAAGTCAACGGCTTCCACTCAGCCCCTACCACCTACAACCACACACCCACCATCAACGGAGAAGGCATCATGGGTAATAAACTTTTTTTTAAATGAACTTATCATACAAGAATCCTGGTAGCGCCTGTCAGATTCAACTCCCATGGTCATTTGATTTTTTTTTCTCTCTCCCAAAAGCAAATTAACAGGTCATCTGACTCACATTATTTATTTTGTCTCTGCAGCCAACCGAGGCACCACAGCTGGCAGTTCAGGGGATGAAATTGGGAAGGCTCTTGCCTCAGTGAGTTCTTTTTTGTTTCTTGTTGGTTTTTTAAATTAGAGCTGGGCAATAAAACAATTACGATAATTTTCCCGAGAGTTTTATTTCCTCTGACAAAATGAAAATCTTTTATGTTGGAGGATTCGTGTGAAGAAAGGACAAATAAATACAAACGCTGACAAAAATGTTCTGTCAGTGGTTTAGCATTATGTTGTTTGTCCGTGGCATGATCCAAAACAGATGAATGTCTATTGTAAAAAATGCTGAAGAAATTTGAGGACCTGATCATTGTTACTGAGAAAATGTGTGTGCAGTTTGAAACAAACAATTCAGTCAATTTTTTATTGTGGTGACTTTGTCTTCCGTATTGCCCAGCACTACTTTGAACTATACTGTTTAACTAGATTACAATCTATGTTGTGTATTCTTAACGTGTGCCATGACGTTGGGATGTTTTGATCAATTCTTTCAGATTTACCCGTCGGACCACAACAGTAATAACTTCCCCTCAGCTCCATCTACTCCTGGATCTCCTCAGGCTATTGCAGGTACAGTTTAATTCTTACATACAGATAATATGAGCATCAAATTTTCACTACTTGCATATGAGAAATCAGAATGCTATGTAGAGGCAGTTAAAGGCAGTAAAGGGCATTAAAGTCATCTTAAACACCAATATGAAGCTATCTGCATTTCCATAAACACATTATTTATTCTTTAAAAGACTTGTCTCTATTTTCTTCTGATCAATTAAGTTCTACCTTGCTTTGATGTAAGATTCATTTCAACCGAACAGCCAGAGTAAAATTTGCCAATCAGAAGGTTGGTAAACTGAGTTCAGGTGGTTTTATCCTTTTCTTTATTCTCACTCATGCAACCACAAATTTGGATAATATTTCAATTTCAGCCACAGAATACCTACATCAGACCAATTTATTTAACTTGTTCAGTTTGATTGCAACCTTGTTTTTGGCACACAAAAATGAATCAGTTGAAATTGTTGGAGCAAAAATGATCCTCTGCATGTTTAATGTTCTTTAGCACAGAAATGTGTCTACAGCTCCATCTGCTGTAAAGTTATGAATTACCGCTATACACTGTCCCAATATTTCTCTCTGCAGGAGCTCAGTCTCAGTGGCAAAGACCAACCACACCCAACTATGAAGGGCAACCACACACACTGGTATGTTAAAACATTTCTGTGCTACATCAAAGCTAATTTGAAGCAGTTGACATATTATCTTCTTCATGCCTTTGTGTGCTTATTTTAATTAAGTGGACAGTTAGTAGACTTTTTTTTTTAAAACATTAAATTGTTTCTCAAAAACATGTATTTGTTTGTAATTATAAGCTGTTTCTTGGACTTGTATTTTGTTTGTCATATTGAGATATAAATACACACCTCTTGTATTCATGTAGCAGAGTAAAATGGAGGACCGTTTGGAGGAGGCCATCCATGTACTGCGTAGCCATGCTGTGGGCCAGGGTCCCGGCTTAGAGGGCGCCCATTCTGACATGCACAGCCTGCTGTCCTCAGTACACAATGGGGGCCTTGGGGGCCTCTCTCCAGCTTTCCCCAATGCTAGCCTTGCCCTCAGCAACAGACATCCTGCTATGGTGAGTCACATACTCTGCTCAAATTACGTTTCGTGTGTGTGTGTGTGTGTGTGTGTGTCAGTGACAGTGACAGTGACATGGACTTTTGATCATGTATGACAACAACATGAAGCCAAGTGTCCATCTGTGCTTTTTGGTTAATTTTATTACGTACATAATATCTGCCAACACTTCTAAAACCTCTCTGCGAGGGACTCTTCGCGTGCTCATAGTGGAGATTGAGTGTTGGGGGAAGTACATACTAATTTGATCAGCCATTGTTGAAGAAACTGTGTCAATATGGAGGTTAAAAGAAACAAACCATATGTTGTGTGTAACATGGCTTAAAATAACCGTGACATATATAATACACTTTTGTTCATGGAGACTGTATTTGATAACTTTACGCTGACTAACTTGATTTGATATTGTATTTATATGTTGCACAACAAATTGCCTTTTTGAGAAAGAAATTATTTGTGTGTCCCAGTTGGTAAGAAAATCTAAGGAAAAAACAATTAAAAATTGCATTACTTTTGTTTGTTTCCATGAGGAACAAAGCATGCCAGACATTTTTGCCATCTGCTGGCCAAAAGTAAAATGGCAAGCAATTAAACGTAAATACTATTTACTACTTGTTTACTACTATACAGCATCATTTTAATGAGTTAAATAATATAAGTTAGACAATAATATTAGCAAACAACATGTACAACATTTTAAATTAGCTACATCATTAAGTAAATACTTGCTCTCATACTGTTGTGGACATCAAGCTGTAGCCACTTTGTCTGCAAGTTGGACTGAGGCATTTTGTTTATGGAACCTTTTTACAGTCTGTTTTGTAGGGGTGTAGTTGTGATATGACTGCCCTTGTGAAATTCATATAATGTGTCTGCACCTTAATCAGCAGCAAGGGAAACATGAGGAGCCCACAGGCCTTCCTCCCAGCAGCACTCTTCTGCACGGTCATCACGCATCCGGACCCACACCATCAGCTGGCCAACCGGAGGGCTTTACCAGTAAGTCCAACTAAATATCGTGTTACTTACAGTCGAGCATGCCAATTGTTCAGTGAAACTGTAGTGTATGTTGTAGTATCTGGTTATTGAGCTCAAACATTTGGTTTACAGTGATATGTATTTGAACATTATTCAGTAATCTCTGCTTCACTTTATTAGCTGTCCACATTGAATTGTATTACATGCCCCCACCTTAGAGAGATTTCAGTGCTTTGGGAAAATAATCCTCACATTTATGCATTTGTCCCTAGGTCTCCCTGGTGGTATGGCCCGCTCCACACACTCCTCCAGCAGCTCAGACATCAAAAGAGAAGACAAAGAGGACGATGAAAACTCATCTGTTGCAGACAAGTCAGATGATGAAAAGAAGGACTCAAAGGCAGCACGCAGTCGAACAAGGTAAAGTGGTCCCTACTCTGTCTTCTTGCTTTTGCACTTGAATTTAACAGCACGAAAAAAGTTTTATAAAGTTTTGGTTAAAACACAAATCCAGAGTACAAACTATTTGACTGTACAAAGACGGAGATTTTCTTGAGACAATTGCCATGTATGAGAATATAACAGAACCTATTTAATATTGGAAATGTCTGCTGCAAGGATCCACTGATTGCCCAGACAATGTTAGATATTTAACAATGTTGAAATCCCCCCTTCCCTTCATGTCACGTTTTCAGAAAGGAGGCGTTGACCCTCCAGATGCTCTCTAGCCTTTCAGACCCGAAAGATGATGAGTAAGTTTCTCCAATAGAGTATCAATTTATTGTGCTTTGTAGGCTCTTGCCAGGTATCACTCAAAGCACATGTTAATGAAGCTGGTGTCCAAAATCTTGACTTTGGATTGGCAGAATCATTGTAATAAAATGTTATGACATCCTGAATTTAATGAACTATCACTCACTTTCAGTATTTTTGTACTAGGGCTGCCCCCGAAAACTCAGTGATTTAAATCATCAGTCAAGAAGACCCCGAGTAGACTTGTTTTTTTTAGCTACGTCATTGTACACAGAGCAACAGAATTGCAGGTTGTCAACCCTAAACCGAGTCTTAAAATGACCACAAACCACAAAAATAATTGATGGAAGCGGAGAAGAGTCAAAGTTAATGGAAGGCAGTGTGACGCCGGGCAGGGGCTGCTCCGACGCTCTCTGCTGCGGTGCTGACTGTCATTGAAGTTGGCTAAACCACCTTTAAACCAGACTGTGGCACAACCTCCTCTACTGCCATCCACTGTGATTGACTCTACAGCTGTCAGTGCTGTCAACAGCCCAGCAGGAGAGACTGTGTGGAGCACTGGGATTTTATAAGTGAACTATGAGCAGGAGGCACACTTTTACTTTTTCTAACTGTTTGGATATCTGATTTGTTTTCACATCACAGATGACAAAGAAAGGCTTTAAAATGTGAGGTAGGCTAAAACATCAGACTCATTTAGCCTTGTTTTCACCACAGGAACTACTGATTTTAAAGAGGTTTAGTGTGGCATTGAACTTAGAAAAAAAGGTACAAATAGGCGATCTTTTGTATTGAACAGCCAAATCAAATCGATGGACAAAATTCTGAGTCGGGAACAGCCCTAACTTGTTGTTCAAAGGAGTTTTGAGATTTTAATTTGAAATTAAAATATATTAGGCAAAACAATAGATTTGTTTTAACAAAACAGTGCAATGTGGGATAAACATTTTGATTGAATGATGATCTGAAGTGGGAAATGCTGCTTCTAGGATGTTTTAGTAGTATACACTGTTATATATTATGCATTTAACTTCTCGCACATCTTGTTTGAAATTAATAGATGCACTACAAAGCTCAACTGTGGGTGTACAGTGCCTGCTATCAAAGCTAAACTTAAGCTGCTAAATGCTAGTCAAAAGGTTGCATCAATAGTGCATAATGGGCTGTTTTGAAGTGTCTTGCTGCCTGTGGCTTTATCATTTCATTTCCATTTGTAACTAGTCCAGAGGAAGATGACGAGGACCTTCCCCCTGAGGTGAAGATGGAGCGCGAGAGGGAACGGCGAGTGGCTAACAATGCCCGCGAGCGTCTCAGAGTACGGGACATCAATGAGGCATTTAAGGAGCTTGGGAGGATGTGCCAGCTGCACCTCAGCCATGACAAACCTCAGACCAAACTTCTCATCCTGCACCAAGCCGTCAATGTCATCCTCAATTTAGAACAACAAGTCAGAGGTCAGTCTGCAAGCAGCTCATCATGGATGGGAAGCAAAGTTATGTTAACCCCTGTTAAATATACAGGTTGTTTTTCTTTTACACTGAGACGGCCTGTTTCTGTTTTCTCTTGTATCTGTCAGAGCGTAACCTTAACCCCAAGGCAGCATGTTTAAAACGCCGTGAGGAGGAGAAGGTGTCCGGGGTGGTGGGTGAGGCAGCCATGCAGCTCTCAGGAGGCCATCCTAGTATGGGAGGAGATGGCCACAACCCAGTTGGCCACATGTAACACCAGGTAGGCCTTGAATATTGGCTACTGCAGTAATTACTATGTATGGTACCCACTGCTCACAGCTCCCTGCGGCTGCTCTTTCTTATTCCATTACTTCCTGAATTGCTGTCAAAAAATGTCAAAATGTTGTCTTGTTTTGTGGATGTATTGTTTTATAGCTGTCGGCTCTAACTGCAGTGACTAATAAATGGAGTTTTCTGTCACTGTGTCACAATAAAAGCTACTCTGTTTCACCAATTGAATGCTTTTGTTAGTCAAGAGTAGAACATGTTTGGTTTGGCACCTTGAATCCAGCATGGGAATGGCGGTTTCCGCTACAAACATAAATTACAGAATATAAAACAAAATTGATTTGCAACTGCTGGAAAAATTTAATGAAAATCTTAAGGATTATAACTTAAAATAAGAAACGCGCTAGTTTGTAGGAGTTAGTGGAATCAGTATCAATATTTTGTTGATAACTTTGTTATATAGGAAAATTATAACATATTGTTTTTGGTCCTTCCTTTTTACAGATCTGGTGGTGTTTCCTTGGCTGTCAGAGGATGTGGCCTTAACAGATTTCTTCCACCCATTATTCTCAGTGTGTGTGTGTATATGTGGACATGTCTGTGTATTGTCCGTTCAAGTTTCAAGATGCACATTCACACACTCGTACACACATGCATACTGCCAAAACTGACACAGCCTGTTTGTCGCACTCCCAACCATGACTACAAGCTCAAATGTGAAGAACTTTTTTTAGTTTTGCTTTGTTTTATACATGTAAGATTTTTTTTTTCTTCTTGGTTTCCACAAGAATTATGGAACACCGGAGTACTTTTTGTCCTGCCACAAATTGGGACTTCACACACTGCCGAGAGGTGCTCTTGTGAAAGAAAGGAGACCTAAACAAACACAAATTGAATCAAGGATTTGTGCCTAATTGTTACATGTTTTCTATTTGACATTTAAGCAAATTGCTTTACATGTGAGGAACATTTATTGTGAGGGATTGCTTATGTGTATGAGCAATTATTTTTAATGTATGTCATTCCCAGCGTGATGGTACAGTCTTACATATGTTATGTAACCAAGCCCATAGTTGAAGTTGAATTGTCTAAATTCAGTGACCTTTCCTTGATCTTATCGGAAAATGTTTGTGGAAGGCAATGGAAAGGTCACTAGGGAAAGGTCAATGTTTTGACAGTCCAAAAGCAGCTTATAAAAGACGGGAACTCTGACCCAGAGGCAGTCTCTGACTGAAGCCCGTTCTCATCCCACAAGGCATCTGGAGACTTGGAATAGAAGACTCCTTCCTTGAAGGTCTATGAATTATCCAAATGGTAGAGTCTGTCGGCTACAAAACTGTTCTTCCTATTCGTTGACCACAAATTCTAGAGTTACTCCAGTAATCCCTTGTCATAGGTTCAGGTTTTTGTACTGCTTTATGTACTAAAGCATACATAGACCAGATAAAGCACAGTTGTATAGGTTTAGGCTGGAAGTCAATCGTCGAACCTGTTGTGCATTTCAGTCCCTGAAAATCTTGTACAAAAGCCATTTGAGACACTTGCTAAGTGATCAGCACCACTTAGTGCTCTTACTTACTTGAAATGGTTTACTGACAATGCCAGCAGACTTAACAGCTGAAATCTTTCCCCCTTAATTGATGTTCTGTAAAAGACAAAGAAATCTGGGTTCCTTTGACGGCGGGATCTCATCAGTCCGCAGTTGTTTGAAGCAGACAAGCCTTTGTATGACAGAGGCTTTCCTTTCCTAAATGAGCATTCCCACTGAATTACAGCCCCTCACCTTCCTCCTGAGTAAGTTTGTCACATTTCTTACCGAGAGAAGTGTGACGTGTAAATTCACTTCATACATTACTCTGATATGTTTCATTTTTCAAAATTAAATATATATAAAAATATATATTTTTTGTTAGTCTATACATTGTAGATTTTTTACATAAATGGCAATATTAGTTTGAAGTTTAGAGTGTATTGTAGATGAGCTGAATGGGAAGGGGATATTTGACATTTAAATGAAATTGTTCAAAAATTAATTCAAAATTGAACCGGGATGACAGAGGACATGGGGTCAGCAGATGAAAAATGTTGAAAGCGTTTGGTGTATCCTTTATTCCAGTTTTAGTTGTAAAGCTTATCATCAGCTACCCAGATGAATTTTTTCTTTCCATTTGGGGGTATGTGGACAGCGTTTGTGCCACAGTCCTGTTGAAGTGTTCTTACTTTAGCAGTGAGGCACTGAGGAAAAATGTGGGAAGGGATTTTTGTCTCTAACAGTAATTATGCAACTGGTTTTTGAATGTAGCTACCATACAAATGTGGATCACCTTCATTTTCAAAGTTGTGCTCCTGAGTTTTTTTTTTTTTTTTTTCTCAGTACAGTATAGTAGTTTTCATTTCACCTTTCTCTAATGTCTGCCCTCAACAAAGTGGCTCTCAGTGTGCGGCTCGCTTTTAAGTAGCCCGCACATTTATTTTGGAGGCAGACGTCGGTATTTGGGTGTAAGGTAATGGATAATACGGAGAACAAAACAGTGTTATTGTGATGTTATTCCCATGTCATGTCATGTTGTGAATGGTTTTTACCAACATGTAATCACATATGGGAGGTAGAGCATTTTGTGTGTTTAATTTCTACAAAAAGAGATGAAGAAAAAGACCTATACAAATCAATAGTGTGGCCTTTTCATTCTCAAGACTTAAGATGACATAATGGGAGAGTGATACCTTATCAGTGCCTGAACTTGTATTTTCATTTAAGACAGTTTTATTTTGTGAACCATATCATTTCATTTATCATGGAGATTAAAGAGGTACTTGTTCATTCCCCCACCCTCCCTTCTCCTAATGCTTTTTTCAATTTTCAGGAAGAAGTTTAAATGGTATAAAGAGATTTTCTTTCAGTGTATCTAGTTAAATAAATAAATGTTACGTAGATCTTGTTTAGTTTTATTCCTTTTTTTCTAATTATTCAACTGGATTATATTGTCCAAACTGCTGTTTTAGTTAAGGTCATGGGTCCAGGTCATGAGTTTTCTTTCTCTGCCCTATATTGCTAAATCAATTGACATTACGGGGTTCAAGAGACACTGCTTTTGGCTCGGATTGTCTGCTTTTGATGCACATTAACATGTTTCAGTGTATGTGTTGCTTCAACTTCAATGTAGGGAGTGAGTTTTATTTTTCGTAGTAGCTGGAGCCTCTAATGACTTGGAGCATTTTAAATTTCTGTATATCAGAGTGCAAGCCCTTTGCTGCAGTGACTTTTAGTATATTTAGTCTCCAGTGACAATTTTCACCTCTGACCTTTTACTCTTCCAGCTCTTTGATGGCGTTGACGGTGACTTTTTGTGAGAAGTTCTGATCACTTCTTTCAACAAGTTGTATTTGAAGTTTTGCTTTTTATTATTACAAGATCAATAAGTGTACTGAATATTGCTGATTTGTTCCAAGGGAAAATCTGACTTGATGTCATTTAGTATTCTGTGAACATCCCATTAGCCTACAAGATACATACTCAAATTTGTTTGGGGGATCCTTATTTGTTAACTCAAGTCCTGACATAGACACAGTCTGAAATCTGCAGAAAAGCAACCCGACCACTGCAGGAGCAAATAATGTCAACAGAAAATGACAAGATTATGATGGGAAATGTTCAGTTGACAGGCTTGAACTTGTTTTGGTATAAGAAAGCAGTAATAAAACACTTGCTTTCAACAATTTTGTCATATCTTTGTTGAACTAAAAAGGGGGGAGACTATTGAGTGTTAATACATTCACAGGTACAGAGCCTGACATCATGGAGTGAGGACACTGTTGACTCCTACAAGGTCCTTTTCTTAGTATATTATAGCGCATACTTATATTATACTATATCAAGATATTGTAGTTAAGAACTTGTCCTGTATATTAACAGTGAATGTAGCACCGATGAAATGTGCCATTTTTAATAACAGATTATTAACCTTGTTCCCAAAATGTACAGCTTGTGTGAAATATGATTTTAGTTTATTCTAAGCAAACTAAAAAAGGGTTTTTTATGAAATAAGAATTGTTGAAAAAAACAACAGCGATCCAGATAAATAGAAGAAAATGGTTGTTTTACTGGTAGTTGAACAATGAATTTGTCTCAACGTTTTCCCTATTGCTTCCATAGACGGTGATAGAGGGTGGAGACAAAACGCGTTGGAGACTTCTATTTATTTTTATGTCCCTCTCTTTCTTTCTGATTTCATGCAACACAAGGCCTCACATTCTGTTTATTAAGACATACCATTGAATCTCTATTAGTAATAGTATGCCTTAGTTGATCATTCTCAGTAGTCACACGCGAGGGGCTGGCCAGTATTAAGTATACAGCTGAATAGTTGCTAGAAAACAGATTTCTTAAATAAAAAAAAAACCACAGGCTGTCGTTGAAAAGGAGCCTTTTGAAGGTTGTTGCCCGAAACGACCCTGAGCTATAAGTTTACAGAAGCCCGTTCATTAGTTTTTTAACAGTCATTAGAGAAGGGGCCCAAGGTCCTTTTACGCCCATCACGGAGAACATTGCAGTGAGTGAGAACTACAAATAACTAACAAGGTCAGGAGATGGAGATCGGTCCCGAATCATGAGGACACTTTTCGATATGAAAATTCGTCATTCGGCGGCATCAAATATACATCGCTGATTTATTAAGGCGTCCGATGAAGTTAATCCAAAGATTACCAACCGAGCAACAAGTATAACGCGGGAACTTACAAGAGGTCAGTTAATACTGGACTTCCTTGTCTACTCGAAATTCCTTCTTCGAGACGCGCGGGCGATCCATGTTCTTGGTAACGTTTAGGCTTTAGGCAATCTGTCTTTGTTATTTCCCACTGGATCTTTTAAGCTCGCTCGGCCTTGTACTACGCCTCACCCTTTTTTCTCACTCTTGTACGCGTATTTTACTAATTCCAGTCTATTTAGATAGGTGAGAGCATGACTTAGATAGCAGTGTCGGCGTGTTGAACGAGCGACGCGCCTAGAGGTCAGAGACAATAAATAGCGTCTGTAGGACACTTCTATTGTTGTTTTGAGAATGTTGTCAAAAGCTTTAAGTGATTCATATTCTAGAAATCGTAACGGTGGGGATTATGAAATGATTTGAGTTAGTAGTCCTGTCGTATCTCAGCGTACAAGTGTTATACAGGTCTTACATTGTTTGCTAAGCAAACTAATTATCTTGAATTGGATTTGAATATTATTAAGCTTGGCAAGCCAAAATAATATATAGAATTTTCTGACAAGTGCTCACTTCAAATAATCTGATTGTAGTCATATGATTATATCTACTGATAATTTAATCACGTCTCATATACTACAGCTTGACAAGAATCCAATCTCATTGATGCTAGGCTCTCCTTACAATTTTACCATAGATGTCAATCTGACTAGATAGATGTTGCTATATGAGTTTGATTTGTATTTTTGTGCTTCACACTATGGATGATTGCATGTCTGATGACAACTGTAGAGTTTAGTCAATTATAACCCCGGTATGCGAAACTTTGTGTTATGAGGCAAGCGGCTATGGAGGGCATCGGGTTGAATGACAAGCACAGTAAGCTGCACACTTGAAGAAGTGCCCACGGCGAGTAGATTATATCCTCAGCTACGGTGTATACTTTGTAAAACACAGAATTACAGCCATGTTCATTATAGCTCTTATCTTTCATTAATCTCCAACACAGTGTGCGTGATATCAGCGCGCATATTCTAAATGGAGTCCTTTCTTCTCACAGCGAAGCATGCCTTATCCAGCTTTTTGCCTCAATTGCTAAGTAAGCCCAGATCGATGGTACACCATGTGCCCATTAATGTCACTAGACTGTCCTTGTCTGCCATTCGTACGGAGGACAGAGGCGAATTATAAGTCTACTTTTGAGGATGCCGCACGCTAGCTATTAGATAGACCTCTGAGCAGTGTTCCTTGTTTACTTTACAGCAACATCAACCTCACTCTGTGCTGAAGTAGATATATCGTTTATTTTAGGGGCAGAATGTATACAGGCGACCAATAAAAAAGACTTTCGAAACTGTATAATTTAGTCCATGATACGGATCTGAGCGTTTATATTTGGAGTACCTGGTAT